GATATACACGCTTTATACATTATCCATAAAGAATCAGGTACTGTAGCGTTGGTTCAATTTTGTATTTACGTATTTGTATTTATTAAAAAGCTGAATTTTCATTTATATGTTCCATATGTGTATAAATTAGTGTGTAAGAACATGAAAATAACTGAAAATATTGTAGCATGTACACATTTAGAATGAGAAACCTAAAAAAATTACTTTAAAGTGGCAAACATTTGATTAATAACTCGATTGAAACATTTTATTTGCATCAAATGAATTAATTATTTTCTTAGCTCTTCTTTTTACCAGAAGCTTTTATCAATTGTTTATTAATGTAATAATAAAATTGTTTGATTGAATCCAACTGGCAGAGAAACTTATCTAATTGTGTTATATTTATTTTATAGTGTAACAGAGATGATTAATGTGAGCCCAACAACTCCATACCAAGAATAATTGCACATAAGCATCCTCAATATTCGAAGAGCATTACAGTCATTCTGCATTTAATTTGTAAGTGTTACTAAAAGTATTTTAATATAGTTTTTCTCCTTAAGTGTAAATGTATGGAATAAAATATAGTGAACAATTCAAAAAAGAAGTATTCCTTATTTTCAAGAAATGAGAAGATATTTAGAAAAATACAGTTCAATACAAGCTTCTTATTACAATTGTACTAACAATTAAATGTGGTTCTGCAAATTTATAATATACACTCTATCTGTTGTTTAGGTGCTTACTCAAATTAGTATTATCAATGGAATTATTAGTAGTTTTATGAATACAGAAGAATGTTTTTAACGCAGCAGTAACATGCTTATGTTAATATGTTTCAAATCTTGTCCCTTTACTTGCATCTACATAAAGAATATGAAAGTCAAAGGTGTAAAAATATTTTGTACGCAGTATAATGTGTATGATTGTACACTACAAGAATGCAGTTAATAGGAAACAGGTTTTTGGTCAATGTAAACATATCGAGGCATTTGAAGCAGTAATGTTCCCAGTCCTGGAAAATATTTTTTGTTTGTTACACAACGATTGTATAATAATCCTTCTTTGATATTTTAATTCACCATTAAAATTTATTTCACGTCGTACCTTGCATAATACTTATGTATGTTCCTAGACATTGTAAAATATTTTTAGTATTACACTTGTCACCAACGAATGTATAAATGTATAAATAAAAAAACTCGTATTTATTAATATATTTTTAAAAAATATATATTTTTAGAAACAAGTCTAATATATGTAACTTAATAAAGAAATAAATATTAATATTAATCAACTGTACAACTTACACCATTTCATTTTTTCTCATTTAACATTATCTTTTCATTTGAATTGTTGTGCTATCCAACTGTCGTATATCGTCCCAGCATTTGATTTCAAAGCATTTTATTGTATTAATAACTATCAATGCATACGTATATATGCACATGTAATAAAGACAAGTGGTAATCACGTATAAAGTGATTTCATGTTATTTGATTTTTTAATTTTAAAGAAATAAAGTAAGATTGTTCGTAATTAGGAATGAATATAATTTTATTTTAGTACACACCCTGCGCAGTCAACTGTTCACCATTGAAAAGGCTGCTTAACGTCATCATATGTTTTCAGTTACATACTACCACGAGTTAGGCACTTGTGAGCTGCTCAAAGCAGTGCCGACTCATCGCCGACAAGATTTTTACCAAAACATCTTTGTAGCTTTGTTACACAAGATTTTTTGAAGTTTCTTTCATTACTGACAACGTAGTTCTAATTTTTTCCCCCTTCAACATGATTATAACTCTGAAAAACTTGCAGCAACAGACGTTTACAGTGGAAATTGATCCATCGCAAACGGTAGGCGAATATAGTGAACATAAAATATGTGTATCATTGTGAAGTGTAATATACATTTTAATATTTTTCCTATAGGTAAAGGATCTGAAACAAAAGATTGAAACCCAGAAAGGTTTCCCTGCAGAACATCAAAAATTAATATATGCTGGTAAGTGATCTATCTTACATAACCTCATTTTTGCTTAATAATCGATTTATTACATGTTTCTATAAACTTACAGTTTACCCAATTTCCTATAAATCTTCTTTGGTTACTATCGGTTTTCGGAAAGAATTCCATGAAATTACGGCATATTAACATTAACTCTTTATAATACTATTATATTTTAGTGATGATGACTTGTAATTTGTTACTATGTAATCATATTGCGAATTTTATAGGAAAGATATTAACAGACGACCATCCATTAACAGAATATAATATAGATGAGAAAAAATTCATAGTTGTTATGGTAACAAAACTTAAAACTGGTAGTAATCCTTCGCCAATTGAAGAAGAACACACGGAAGGTGACAATAAAGAAGAAAGTAGTACAACCAGGTATGAACTTGAAGTTTAAGAGTTGTATATTCTGCGTTTAAGTAGCAATAAAATATGATTATAATAAGTAATGTATTTATTTTGGGTCATACTTTATTAAGCTATTCTTGATGTTACATTTTGTCTTAGCCCGGCGGCACCACCTAGTACAAATCCTATTGCTCAGATTGCACCACAGCCTGCTAGTAATGCACAAGAAGAATTTGAAATAAGTACTACTGCTGAGAATGTCAGAGGTCAAGCCGAAAGTGCCTTGTTAATGGGTGAAGATTATAATACTATGGTAAACAACATTGTAGACATGGGGTGTGTATTTGTCTTATAGAAATATATGTTGCAGATGTGTATTTATCATTCTCTTTCTTAACTCTTGTCTCATGAATGTAATTTACATCAGATACGAACGCGATCAAGTTGAACAAGCGCTAAGAGCTAGCTTCAACAATCCCGATAGAGCTGTTGAATACCTTTTAACGGGTATACCGGTTCAGCTGTTTGAAGATCCACCAGAAGATCCACCAGAGCTACAAGAAGCTCTTCAAGATCATGCTCACCATCCGCTAGCATTTCTAAGAATGCAGCCTCAGTTTCAACAGATGCGTCAAGTCATTCAGCAAAATCCTCAGCTCCTGAATGCTGTGCTTCAGCAAATTGGACACACTAATCCTGCACTGTTACAACTCATTTCACAAAATCAAGAAGCATTTGTTCGCATGCTTAACGAACCTGGTTAGTTTTCCTTTTGCATTACACTGGGGAGTACAGTCGGAAATATATAGAAAATAGTACCGAAATATTTTCACGGTTTTCTAAAATAAGTTATACCTTCTTGTCTTGTAGAGGTCTTCATCGGTGCTCCCTAGTGTAAAATGAGAAATATGGACCCTTTTAATTTGTTTACATGTTCAAGTATTTCATATATTTCATTTTTGAGTAGTGGAAACAACAGGTGGCACAGGTGCAAGAACTACCCCCGTGTCTGCATCGTCTATTCCGTCGGCAGCTGCTCCTGGTGGTTTAACCGGTGGACCTGGTACAGGAATAGGAGGAACTGGAGCTGGAGCTGGAGCTGGGGTTGGGGCTGGGGCTGGGGTTGGAGCTGGGGCTGGGGCAGGGGCTGAAGCAGGAGCACGTGTAGAATCTGCAATAATTCAGGTAACACCGCAAGATAAGGAAGCTATTGAAAGATTGAAAGCATTAGGCTTTCCCGAACACTTAGTTGTACAAGCCTATTTTGCTTGTGAAAAAAATGAAAATCTTGCTGCTAATTTTCTGCTGTCACAAAGCCTCGATGACTGAAGCAATGCACTTCATTAATTTCATAATAACGAGTTAAAGGACTGATATAGGGTGGGTAATTACACAGGCGCCACATATTATTTTCGACTGGTCACCTTCGTTTTGTATATAAGTATGCACACATATTTATATTATTTCTATTAATTCTCTAACTAGATGTATCGGTATTTTTGGTAAATCATACAAATTTAATAAAGTTACTTTCATGACTGCTCAACATATCAGATTATTCGCTATTTTAAATAATTTTATTTCAAAATAAATTTGATTCCAAAATTTCATATATCCCGTATATATATATATAATATATAATATATATATTATATTATATTAATATATAATATATATATATATATATATATATATATATATATATATATATATATTAATTAAGATCGAAATTTGATACTTTGCATCAGTGTTATAATCCATCCTTGCAGTCTCAAAAATTGCGCTACAGCAAAAAGTTTTTGTTTTCTGGATATATGGAGCAGTGTAATTACATTTTTATGTAAGAAAGCCTGATTGTTTAATATAAAGAAAATATAAATACTTTATTGTATTTATATGTTGGAGTTATAATACAATGACGCACATACATGCAAATTTGTATACACTGATAGAGTGTATCCAAAACGTATATATGTGTACAACACATATACTTTGTACATTTAATAGGCTTTCTAATATAAAAATTATGTAAGTGCATCCGTATATGTATGACTGCATATGTATATATGTGTGTACTTGCGTATAACTTGCGCCTATGTATGTATGTATAAAAAAAAGTCTTGTATTTTTTAAACAAAAGTTAAGAAGACAGTTATTCATCAATAAAACATTACCAATCATTTCATTTGTGACAAACTAACAATATGTAAGAAAAACTTAAACAAAGGAAATGAAAATTTTAGTAACATGCATTCGAATCTTTCAAATTTTGTTCTTGACCTCAATATCAAAACATTCTTTTTAATTAAGAAGAAAACAGAAGCTCGTATAATTTATGACTAGTTAGTAAGTGATAAACGTATATAAAATATCCAAAAGGCAGATAAATTCGGGGCGACTTATAAGAAATATGAATCTATAAAAAAATTTGTAATTAACTTTCTATAAAAGTGAAGGCAATGAGATTATTAATATAATGGGAATGCATTCAACGTATTGTAGCCTTAATATAGTAATACATAACTTACTAGAAACCGTTTGAATTTTGAAAATAATAGTACTGATATTAAAATTTTATTAGAAATATAATACAATGTAAAACGAATAATATTGAAAGATTGCTTATTTAATAAATAAAAATTATGTGAGTCTAGGCACAAATGAATAAGTTAGTTTCCCTGTTTTGGTTCATGTATACGTATATGTATATGTATATATCAATATATTGTATATATACGTATATTAAAAAGGATGTAAGTTATAAGATTGAGAAATTCGTTAATTTCTTTTTTAAGTTGCATACCCCCGTGTATGTAAAATTATGTTTCCCATATAAATGGACTATATATACCTTGTATTTAGTCCAGTTTAATATTTTGTTATAGAAATAAGTTTTCACTGTTACAAAGAATTTAGACGCAAAGTATACATTACAAAAATACCTTTTTTAATTAACTTTCTTTACATGTTAAATGCCAAAAACTGATAATATATTAAAAATAAAAGAAAATGTTAGCAAGCAATATTACATTCTCTGTTATTTATCAAATTTTATTTCTAGTACAATAAATTAAATGCTTTAAATTCAAAGCAAGCACTATACATATTCAATTTCTATTGTTGTTTATTTAATAAACATGAAATTAAATGTTTCATTGTGCGCATTTATAAACATAAAAACTTTTATTATATAAATTGTATTTATTATTTATTATAAAATATGTTAAAGAAGTCTCTACAAATGTTATTTATATAGAATAATTTTATATATACATTAACGGATCATTCTAAATAATTAATGCAAAAATAATTATATGATTTTGCCTTTTAAATTTATACCTTTACTTTGAAGATCTTTCTTGGCTTCTTCTATTTGCTGGAAAAAAGTAAGTACAATATTTGAATAGAAAATATTTTAATATTAGAATTTTAATACAGTATAATACTTTATTTATTTTTATACTTACTTGTTGTAATTCGATAGCAGCATTTTCACAATTGTTAAACGTAAAAACCCTATATAAAACAGTGAGAACTGCGTACAATCCGAACAAGAATAAGATGTAAAGAGGTAGAAAAACTATGATCTGCTGGCATTCTGCAATAATCGGGAATTCAATATTTCCTGTAATTGCGGAAAACCATATACCGAGAAATAGAGTTGCGAACAAGAGCCATTCCATTAGTTTCGTCATCTGAAAGTTTCATGCACATCTTTATATAAATTTACCTGTTCTTAAAAGGATTATTAACTAAAATCATTTACGATTTGAAAATCTTTTGATTAATAAAATGATAAATATAGTGTGTACTATATACATACTTTGAAGCATATGACTAAATTATACTCCAATAGTTATATGTATTTTTTATTTAATTTATATCATTATCCTGTTGAATGTGTATAGTAGAAATATAATTTTAATAAAAATTTTAATATAGCGTGTATAGATTTAATATTAAAAACCTCTGTTTTGAAGAAAAAATTGCGCCATAATAGAATTAGTTGAAATGAAACGTGTCAAACTGGTGCTTCACGAGGCACCGTGGAATTCTCTTCTCACAGACTCATCATTGAGAGTTACCCCCTCCATACTTACTTACTTTCCCCTCTTCGTTCAGTTGAATACTACACTACGAGCAAGCTGATCGCTACTTAAATGTACACGTGCAGAAGTCTCCTAATTGTATTTGAACACTACATAGATCTGCTCATAGGGAGAGTACGGTTATCTCAAAATAGGATTCGGATAGTTCCTGCGTTCCTGCAATAGAGGTGGCAGAGGAATTGCTGATAAAAAGTTACTAATTTTAGGGGAGGGACTTTAACATCCCTAGTTTAGATTATACAGTGTAATCAAATTTAAATGTCGAAAGACAGATATACCTATGAAGTCTTTATGTATGCATTATTCTATCTGAATCTAATTGTAAAATATGCTCAGTAAAATCACAACCACTTAATCATAGGAAAATATCTTACGGAAAGTTTCTTACATTCGAAGCCCTCTTACAGCGAACCGATGAAGTTCTCTGCATTCTGTATTGGATATCTATCGTTTAAATGTTTTCTCTATGGATAGTGTATTAAGGTCTCTGTAATTTATTTCGTGTTGATGATTGTTTTACTATCAGAAAGGAAAATATCTATGCATTTACGTAGTACAATTTTCATTAAATTGTTGCATTAAAAATTTACTTTAATAACAATATTTTATGTAGATGTTGACTTGCAAACTGAAAATCGTGAAAATGTTATTGTCCAGAAGGAGTTGCATTGTGAGAAAGTATCATAAAGATATACCTAAACAATGTACAAATTTTACATCAAAAATCACTGAAACGCCCCCCGAGTATGTTAATAAATTATTAATATGTTTTGAAAAGTAATATGTGGTAAAACAACATAATTTGTTCATACAGATCAGTATGGACACCTACAATAGGTTTAGAAATTCATGCACAAATGGCAACAAATTCAAAGTTATTTTCTGGAGCTGGAACAAATTTTAATAGTCCAATTAATTCTTCTGTATCGATGTTTGATTGTGCGATACCAGGAACAATGCCGGTAAAGTATAACAAATGTTTTTGAAAAATATTTCGATAATTTTCTATTGCAGATAACTCTTGTTGTAGGTATTAAATAAAAAATCTGTAGAAATGGGAATATTAACTGCTTTAGCGTTGTCTTGTCAAATAAATCCTGTTTCCATGTTTGAGAGAAAACATTATTTTTATTCTGATTTACCTGTGAGTACTTAAAGTGCATTTTGGAATGAAAGTAAAAGATCGCAATTATTATTTATAGAACACTTTTATTCTTATAAGAATTGGAAGGAAGCTACAGTTATTAAGGAGATAAATATTTTAAATAGGCAGGATTTCAAATTACACAGCACAAAAAGCCTTTGGCCACCAACGGAATAATCTCTTTTATGGTATTTAATCCTCAAATAAGTGGGAACGCATACATAAAATCATCCAAGATTAAACAAATACAGTTAGAACAAGACAGTGGAAGAAGTTACCACAATGAAGATCTTGGAATGTATTAATCATTTTAAGTTCTATTTTTTTTGCGATAACGTGTATACTTTGATATAACAACATAGCGAAGGAATCTTTAGTAGTAGATATCATTTTGCTTTCTCACTATCATGACAATGTTTGTTGATATCACTCCTAACATTTTTGCAGTGGGAAAGGTAGTCCTATGTTGTTTCAAACTCTTAGCTGAATACATTTTATTAAAAATGAAAGAAAAAAAGAATTGTTTCTGTACGCGTTTGTAATGTTTAATGTTTTAAAACTTTGAACAACGAATGTCTACAAGTATCATACCGAGATGTAATATTTCTTATATTCACGTACCTACAAATAACAGAACCTTGTCATACCCGGCTATACACTTTTGGAAATTATATGCTGTATTCAGCTAAACGTTTTGTCTAGCTGTCGCTCGTCGCGAAAGTGTTAATCATTTTATATCTACATTTTTGTATGTGTGTGTGGATAATAATATAAGCATATCATCTTGTTGTTTAATTTATAAATAGGAGTTTAATTGATCTCAATCGTGCTGGATTACCTTTAATGGAATTGGTTTTTGAACCAGATTTAAGCACCGCAGATGAGGCAGCAGCACTTATAAAGGAGTTGACATTGGTTTTACAATCGATAGGCACATGTTCTTGCAAAATGGAAGGTTGTTTATTTATAAACTATTATATTTAAAGTAATCAATCATTTATTATAAATGGATTCTTCGTATTATTTGTAATCATAGAGGGAGCATTAAGAGTGGATGCAAATGTTTCTGTTAGTAAAAACGATGCAAGTCTGGGTACTCGTACAGAAATAAAAAATATTGGAAATACACATGCTGTTCGTAATGCTGTTCAGTATGAGATACAAAGACAAATAAACATTCTGAACAACGGGGGTGAAATTGTCAATGAAACTCGTGCATGGGATGCAATAGAGAAGAAAACTATTATCATGCGCGAGAAGGAAGAAAATCATGTAACACAATTAATTTCTAATTATGATATTTCTAATACTTATATATATATATATATATATATATTATCGATAAAATTAATGAAAATAATTCTAGGACTATCGGTTTATGCCTGAACCAAATTTACCGCTCTTACGCATACATGTTGATCAAAATGAAGAAAACAAATATAATTTGATTAATGCTTCATCGCTGAAAAAGCAATTACCTGAATTGCCACACACACTAAGGAATATGATGATCGCTCATGATATAAAATATCCGATAATTGCAGCAATAATGGTAATTTGTACTTGTGAGGCTATAATATGCGTAGAATAGGACACCGGTATAAATTTTATGAATGATTGTTTTGATCTTTATCAATATGATTATTTTGATTTTAGAGTAGTAGTGAAGTATTACAATTATTTCTCGAATTAACAAAACGAAATAAAAACTGTAATCAGCAACTGATAGCAGAGGTCATTATATCTAGATTACTTGGTTTTATTCAACACAATGACAAGGATATTAAATTTCTGTAAGTTTACAACAGCAAAAGGATAACATAAAATAAATGTTATTTTTCATTTATTAATAAAGTAATATAATATTATTCAATTTTAGCATGGACAATATAGATTTTATGGACGATTTAATCGACTTATTACAACAGAAATTAGTAAATTATAACAGATTGCAATCGGTATTGGAAATATGGATAGAACAGCCAGAATTGAGACCAAGACAGGTAGGAAGAAAAAAAGTATTTGAAAGTACTGAAATCTTTTACATTTTATAAGGAATAACGAATTCCTATTATGTTCTATTCTCAATAGATTGTTGAACAAAATAATTGGTTCATGATATCAGATCCAAACGAATTACAGAAATTGTGTTTAGATGTAATAGAGAAAAATCCCAAAATAGTTGCGAAGTATAAGCGTGGAAAAGTGAAGTTATTTAAACGTTTGATACACGAAGCAGTTAAAGTTTCAAATGATTGTGCAGACATGCAGAAGTTGACACAGATTATGACAAAGTTGTTACGCGACTAAAATAAACTGTATTCTTTTGTAAAGTATGGTATGTTTCAAATAAAAACTCTACAAATAATTGAATACGTCTATTTTTTGTTTTTAGCATATTTACACATCTCCACATTTAAAATATTATATAAAACATGTAGTCAATTTTCTTCTAGCATTTACTTTTATAAATTGTAGTTACAAATACAAAATAAAATGAGAAATAAATATTTGTGGTCTAACAAACTGGAGACTAGAGCAGTATCAGTCCCCTTTGTAATTTAAAAATTTCGTCTAAGTCGGCACAAATTTTCATTTCATAACAGTGTGAATTATATTGTAAAAAATATTTCACAACAAAGAAAAAAAAGAAAAACAAGTCAGACCATATTCAATGACTCTTTCATCTACATAATACCTGAGGGTGGGACATTTTTATTAGAGCAGTACAAAGTATGATAATAGGAACAACCTTTATCAAATTAATAATCTATTGTTACAGATTAGTTTCTTTTGTATCGTTGAATTAAGACAATACGGTAATATACATTTGGCAAAAGTTTGTAATCATAATTACGATTACTTAAAATTCAATTATTACATTACGAACAATATATATTTTTTTGTACATTACATTTGTAGACGTCTTTAAAATTATATTTACAGTGAAAAAATAACATTAAAAATAATCGTTAAACATAAAAATATTTGACAAAGATTGAACTGCTTACCACAAGTTGTACGTAATCGTTTGACCAATATTTATACAATAACGGAGTATTGTATACTGTGATGCTAGTTCTCACGTAATTATTTTTTTTTCAAATACAATAAGCACATAGATATTGCTATTATACAATACAATGAAGGTATCTATATAGTAAACAGTTACACAAAACTTGTTATTCTGTAACAAACGTCGTTATGAAATAACTATTTCAACTTATCTTTTTTACAATTCTTTACAATATAACATTATTAAAAAACATGACACCTGCGCATTGTCATTTGTTTCTTTCTTCATTACCTATAAACGTTTCATTTTTTTTTTCTCTTTATCAAAACTAAAATTGTTTTATGGTTATTGTTACCTAAAAATTAAGAAACTTTTCCAAATAAATACATTAAATCAGTTATTAAAAGTAATAACACAGCTTTTGTTGTTGACACCAGTTATAAATCATTATTAGCTCTAGTATAATATTGAATGAAAAAAATCTTGATTATTTAATAATTTGCAAAAGAATTTGTGAAGTCGTACACTGATCGTGTAATGTAAGAATGTTTTAGTTCATTGTAAAAATGGCGATAATGGAAGGATTGTAAGTTGCAGTCTTCCAGGAAAAGGCCACTTGAATAGCATCAAAGTCATCCTCTTAATATTCACTCCTTTTTATTGTTCTACTGTAACCTTTCAAGACGTTATGAATGCTTTCGTTTTGAATTACAATTATGGAAACAAGTTTATACAATAAATTTAATATATATACACACACTTCTGATGTGTTTTTCATTAAGTAAAAAATTTCATCTTATCAACCT